ATGCTCAGTGATTTCACCTTTCTGCTTTAGGCACTCATTGTTGTTCTTTTTTGTTTTATTTTTTGTTAACAAGGCCCAAGATCATGATATTGACAAACATGAGAATAACATTTGACTTATACCTGGCAATTCAGTCATAAATGAGAGATTGGATAGAGAACGCAGCCCTGAGGTTCACCAGTGCTGAGAACCAGTGTGGAGGAACTTCACTTCTGGCACTAAAGCAAGAGAAGCAAGGTGGTGCTCAAATATGACAATTTTATTACCCCTCACTAGGGGTGTAAATAATAATCGTTTTGTATCGATGCATCGATCCAACAGCCGACGATCCGATGCATCGATACGTCCGCAAGAGAATCGATTCATGTTTTTTTTTCCTCCGGTCTATTTTTATCCATTTGCTCCTGGACGTAATTCTCCCTCCCGTGCTGCGGTGGCGCTAAACCTATTTTACCCTCCTACCTCGCTTCCTGGTTATACTCTTACAGCAGTTTGTTGCAGTAAGCTTGACACAGACATTTTTTATGTATGCTCAATATTGAAGCGTGGTCTGTGCTACACTCTGTGGATCTAGATACGGCCGAGGCGGCGAGGAAGTGGGGGCGAGTTTAGTCCGACGACGGAGGGACATGAGGGCCAAAAAGAGCGGAGTTCCAGGTGGAAAAAGGGTCCCAGCGTTCTCGCGCACCTCGCTCTTTTAGCGGGTCAAACTTCACGAGTTGTTTTCCGCAATTTTGGTCATAAAAACAAAACAAGCCGGCCTCCTGTCTGCGGCACTGTTTGCGGTCAGCTACAATTTGGGAGAGGAGCAGCGGAGCGTCTGTGGAGGGGGCAGGGACGTCTGGAGCCGAGGTATTTCATTGCACTCATTGCACTGATTTTGTGCAGTATTTTCTGATGCTAAGCCTTGCAGAATCTATACCGCAGGGGTACTATTATTTCTCAGTGAATGAGGTTTTATTAGGAATAGATGGAGTGCAACTTCTCTACTTCTGTTATTTTCTGTAGTTTCTCAAAAAACAAAAAGCATAATGATATTACAGCTTTCATTGATTTATTTCAAATTTGAAACATTGTCTAGCCTGTAAGGTATAAAAAAAAAAAAGAAAGAAAAAAAAAATGAACCAATTAATCAAATCGAATCGTGGTGTATTCTTGAGTATCGAAAATAAGCGAATCATTGGGTCAGGAAATCGATACTGAATCAAATCGCCATGATAGGTGTGATTTACACCCCTACCCCTCACTGCAATCCTATCTCAAATTAAGAGCAATTGACTTTCTAAGGCAAAGTAAACATATATGGCAAATTCAATTAAATACCCTCAGCTTATTTGATTCTAATAAACAGACATTTCCAATACCTGGAAAGGCAATATACACTCAGATGGGTAAAGATAAAGAAGTGTGGAGACACCAAAAACATAATATCTCTGTCCACAGGCTGTTTCAAACATGAAGGCATATAAAAATCCATACGTGAGCAGCACGCAGTGTAGACCTGTCTGTAGACCATTCTCTGCAAGTCACAGTGGAGAAGAGGGCAAAAAAAGACTATAACAAAGCGACCTTGGACTTGGCCAAGAAATGCTGTTGAGATCAACATCAATAATTCAGCAGTAGAGTTGACACATCAAAAAAAATGAGAGAGAGAAAGAGAAAAAGGAGAAGACAATACCCACTGATTCTAGAGTCATCTAAAATTCATGCATGCATCATCGTTTTCATGAATATTCATTAAGAGATGAATATTTAACTGTGGCTCCTATGGAGAAATTAAGTTCATCTTTACACTTATCAATAATTTGTGGGGCAGGTGACTTTCATCATCCAAATAAATAAATCATGCCTTTGTTCAAACTGCCAGGTGCCCAAAACACACCCACCTTAGAGATAGACAGAAAATAACAAAAAAAAAGTTTTGTGTTTATAGCTATGTCTGAGAAAAAAATGGGGGGGGGGGAAGCACCTTTACACTTAATTTAACCCTCATGTTTACATCAATTTGAGGTGTGAATGTTTAAACAGACATGTTTCTGTGGATGTGACGTCAAGTGCATCCATGTTAAATGCATCCAATTTAGCAACCTAGCAAACAATTGAAATGTCCTATTCAATTAGGGCTGGGCGATATAGAAAAAAAGCTTATCGATAAAAAAAATGCATATTGATCGATATCGATAATTATTGAAAAGATTTGAAACCATATTTTATGTGCAGCTCTGCCTGGACTTTTTATAATATTGCTAAATGGTTTAATTTTAATAAAAAACACAAACACAGACTTCGAATTAAATCTTTATTTAACCAACTTTTTTAACCATAACATAATTGTTTTAAAGAAAAATAACTTAAGAGACCTGAGTTATGTTATTAAATACTGACAAAGAATAAACTAAAGTGACCAAAATAAATATAACAAATAAATAAATGCCCCCCTCCCCCCCACCACCGCCGCCCCCGCCCCCGTTTCCTGCTTTAACCTGAGTTATTACTTTGAAGTTTCTGGCCCCTCAGCATTTTTATCTCAATTGTTAGAACTACGTGGGAAACTGCCCAGAACTGAAAATATATATATATTTTCCGAAGATTCCTCGGAGGAGAGTCGCGGCGGGGCCTACACAGCTCGTACTCCTGCGGGTGTGAGTGGCTGAGATGATAAAAAAAAAAAAAAAGTTGGTTGTGTTACCAGACTTCGTTTACACTGGTTCCCTACACATTTTCCAGATGACTGTGGTTTGTTTTTTGTCCGACTTGCCATGACCGAAATACTGCCAGACTGCCGAACTACAAAAACCCTTCTTTGGAACAATTTCCTCCGCCTCTCCTTGCTGCGACATCTTCATGTGCTCTGTGTTATGGTTTGAGAGGGCGGCGCTTGGTGACGGCGTGCCTGGGTCCGCGATTGTGATTGGTTGGGAGGAAGCAGTGACTAGCATAAACCTACATGCTAGGCTACAATGAGAAGTAAGGAAAACTGCGTTTCTTTTTTATCGAACTTTTATTGACCCTCTTTTTTTCTATTGCGCCACACGTCTATCGATCAATATATGTCGTTATTGAATTATTGCCCAGCCCTGTATTCAATATCGATTTTGTAGATAGTCAGAGGCAACTGGCATCCATTTTAATTCAGAAACCAATAGCAACACCAAGTATGGTGAAAAGAGTTTTTAAAGAATATTTTCAAATACGAGCGCAGCCTACGAGAATGAGCAGACGAGTATTGGCCTGTCCCCCACTACCTGAGAGTGGACATGGTATGCTAAAGCCATGCTCGTACGTAAGACACCACAGACAGAGCTATGAATATACTTGGAATATGAACCATCCAAAAGAAAATATGTTGTATTGCTTAGACAGATGGCAGAGTTGGGGAGTATTGGCCTAGTGGTTAGAGCAGTACGCTTGTGCTCTGAGAAGTTTGCAAGTACTGAGTTTGATCCCACAGCCTCCACTTTGGGTTCCTGAGCAATACCCTTAACCCCACACTACTCCCCAAGCGCCACACAATGGCAGCCGACTGCTCCCCAAGGGGATGGGTCAAAATGCAGAGTGAATTTCCCCATTGAATGACAATTAAGGGATTTACATTGACATAATTTTGACATAATCGAGGAGAGACAATAAAACAGCAGCACCCTCTGCCAGTGTTGCCAACTTAGCCTTTTAGTCGCAAAATTAAGCACCTTTTCAGACCCCTAAAAGCACCAAACTCTGTCCTCCCGAGTGAGACGATCTTAAGCCTGCCTCCCTCCCTCTTTCACTGTCTGCTGTCGTCATGCAGAGTAGGCTGCCTGTGCTTGCAACAGAAACGGCACACCTTTTCACTTTGAATGTGGAAAGCTGCTACTAATCCTGCACTAGATTGCAAAATCAAATCATGAAAATCTTTTCAAACTGACATAGTTGTGTCACATAAAATAACTGCATTTTCACCCAACAGCCTCATTTTCTCCCCATTTGCTCCCCCTTTTTCTATGTGTTTTTTTAAGCTGGATGGCAAGCAACCAATTGCTTTTTACTGTATGCCACCAATTGTTATCGAGTGAGGAAATAATGGCAGAATTATATGCATTTTTTTTTTTACTTGTTTCTGTAAAAGTCTCAATAAAACTCATCTAGATTAATCTTATAGTAATCTTTGAATTTGTTATATTTAATTATATTAGATTAAACTGGCTCATTTTGCCTAAATGGATTCATAAATCAGAATTAGAATTAATTTAATAATTTTATTTCTTGCAGTGCAACTGTTTACAGAACAGAGACAAATAAGATTGTAAGTACAAATAAGGGTAAGAATTAAATAAGATAAAGATAATAATAAAATAAGAAAAGGATGTTATGTGTGTGCTACCTAAATAATAAGTCTTTGAACACGTTTTTCAATCTGATGTTTCTCGACATCAGATGTGCAAGCTCTAACCCCACACCAATATTACACCTGTTATAAACCTTGGGTTATAGAAAGTCACATCATTTATTAAAATAATCCAATTATAGCTGCATTTTTCATAATTTTTTTAACATAACTTAAAAAACATGAAATGAACAAAAACTAAACTTGTTGTTCATGGGATGTCTACTGTTACATGTGAGAGTCTTGCTTTGGCCAGGGTGAGGGCACTTTTAAAGAATAAATAAAATAATCTAACACAAGCAATGTGTTCATAATGGCTGTCATGTGATGTTGATAAACAGGAGGAGTTTTTGGGAAAGTAAACAAAAAAGAATAAATTTAATTAATGAATTAACAAAAATAATTTCATTCTGGGGCTCTTAACCAGGCTTGCATTAGGGCTCATAGAACAGAAAATATGCCATTTTCAGCCCAACTAATATTACAAACCCTATTCAGAGACCAGCACCAAATACCCTAAATAATCATTCTATGACCACTTTAAAGCAGAGAAGCTGTACAAGCTAAGAACAGGGCTCAAAACTGGGCTCCTTCTGCCCTGCAAAATGATAAATTCTCACAAAGAAGTTTATCTTACTTTGAAGAGGTATTGTCTCTGCTCTTCTGACATCATCAATTGGTGGCTGTCAGTTACCATAGCATCCATGTCCATCAGCCAATCCCACAGTTCCTGATACTCTGCCTCGAAATCCTGTGAACTAACATAGAAAGAAAGGTTACTGGTTCGCATTATTGTAATTAAAAACCTTTGCATACGCTGATTACTGTTTTATTTTGCTTGGATAAGTCTTTTACTTTCTAATGTTGTTTGTAGATAAAAAAACATCATCCTTTTATTTTGTTTTGGCAAATATAATTTATGTGTGGAGTCATGTTAATAAAAATTAAATCAAACACAATCTTTAACTAACTTGCCTTTTAGATTTTCATTTTAAATCTAAACGATAGTTGGTTGTTTTTGAAAACCCTAGCCCCACCTCTTTCATGTTGCAATAAGTTGGCTTTTTTTTTTCTCACTCCCATCCAAGCACAACTTTTTTGCATTTGGAAGCCCTTTTTAAAATCCAGCACTGCAAAATGGGAATTCTTCCATTTCATAATTAATTGATACATACATGTGTCTGTATGTGTGTGAATCTATGGGTATGTGTAAAGGACTAAAGAAAATAAAAGAGATTCATGCAAATAAGTTGCCTCTGCCAAGGTCTTCAGTTTGGAACAGCTGAAGATAAAAGGTTTGTGATTATTTTCAGATTTTTAAAAATATATATTTTTTAGTTATCACCCAAAGAAAAGTTCAAAATTCAATTTGGAAAGTTTTGTTGTTTGGAAAGACAGTTAGATTTAACCAAATGTTTAATCATGACGGAACTGCAGAGAACAGCGTCAGCATCTAAGGTAGGAACCTCTGCAATTCAATTCAGTTTATTCATATAGCGGCAATTCACAACACATGTCATCTCAAGGCAGTATACAGTTCACCAGATCGTAAAGTGAAATTGATTAAAAGTTTTTTACCTAAGGAATACCTGTTGATTGCATCAACACATTGACTTAAAGGCAATCCCTCACAACAAGCATGGTTGTAGCGACAGTGGAGAGGAAAAACTCCCTTTTAACATGAAGAAACCTCCAGCAGAACCAGGTTCAGTGTGAGCAGACATAGAAAAAGAAGCAAAGATACAAAAGGCAACTGTAAACCAGCTCCACAGGCCAGGAAACACACAGCGAGGCAGACTAGCTCCGAGCCAGCTCCCATGTCAGAGGATGAAGAGAGCACATCCAGCTAGTCACAGTCAGAGAAACAGGACTACACTGAAAAACAGGCTGATCTCAAACATCTATAAACAAAGATGGTGATGGCAGCAGCACAGGTGACATTTCTCTACAGGATGGTGTCAGGCCAGCTACTATCTGATGGAGGATGACAATGAACATTTGAGTGACTAATCTGGTCTTATAGTTCAGTAAGTGCCCAGAGGAGGATGTTGGATCCAACAGGCCGGCTGCCAAGAAGACGTGGCCGGCGCCGCCCAGAGAGTCCTAGATGCTGATGTCCCAGGGGTCGGAGAACAGAGCCAGGAGATCAGAGGTGCGAAGAGGTACTGAAGGTAAATCCAGGATGGTGTCAGGAAACAGTTCCAGATTTGGTACACAGACAGGCATAAATCCACAAGAGTCCAAAGACAGGGCAGGCAAACAGATCAGAACAGGGACAGGCAGACTCAGAAGTCTACATGCAGAACGGATCATGGTCAGGCAATCAAAAACAGGAAAGCTAGAGAACTCTCACCAAAGGCTTGAATAATCTGGCACTGATGGCTGATTGAAGGCTGGTTAAATAGAGGCTGAAGCAGATGGATCGGATGAACAGTAATGAGAAGATAGGAGATAAGCGGGTCAAGTAAATGAGTAATCAAACATCTACTTTTGTATCATCTTTTTTCTGCTTTCTATTTTTACTTTCAAAATTTTTATGCCATCCAGTATTCTCTCTTGCCTTATGCAGAGTAAAAGCAGAACTTTTCGGGGTTTTTAGTTTTGTTTTTTTGGAACTCTATTCTTCATCTCCAACTTCCTCCACCTTGCTATTTCTTTCTTCTCACTAGTCCATGTCAGGTTTCTCTTCTGCTTTTCCTTTACCTTTGTTTGTCTCAACTCTTTTTACAAGTATATTCTTCTTCCAAACAATACCCTTTAACTATCTGGATCTACTCCTTTCTTCACTTCCTCCTTCATCCCTTTCACAATCCCCCTCGACACAGGATCAAATCTAAAATGTATGCTCCTAGAACAGAGGCCTATTGCTCAAACGCACAGATTACTTTCAGCCATTTTGCTAAGGTGTGTGTGTTTGTTATTTATATATTCTCTGCCTTTCAGCCTCAGTGGCTCTTGCCAATGACTCTCTCAACATTTGTAGTGAAATTGAGTGGAATTCTCTTGTCACCAGGACAAACACTTTGACAATCTGTCAAGCCTAAAGCATCTTCATGACGATTTGCACACAAGCGCTATCAGTGGTTAAAAGTAATGCACACACACTTTGTGTCACACAATCATTGAGGGGACTTCCCATTTACTTACATTAATTTCCCATTCATTTATATGGCGTAACCCAGACACTTATTCTAATCCTAACCATTATCAACGCATGCCTAACCCTAAAGCTAGTAGCCTAAGGTTAGGGTTAGGCAACTCAGTTCACACCTTATACTGCATTCACACCAAACATGATTTCAGCAGCAAAAAAGGGCCTGCTTCAGTTTTGATACTTGTCCAAATTTAGTACTGATGCACAGCATCTTTGCTGCTCTAGCTGTCTGTGGGTCTGAGTTGAATTGGGTGAAGCTACCCTCTTCTTTTTGCCTGTATTTTATACAATGGCAGATGAAATCGAAAGAGTGGCTTGGCTTATTTTAATGAATGAACGCCATCGTCTGGCACCTCAGCGCCATGTCGGGATTCACCACATAATTCAGATGCATTCAGTTTGTGAGGAGTTTTACCATCTAATCCAGGAACTCCAAGCTGATGAGGGTAGCTTCCAGCGCTACTATTGTTTCACCTGAGCCCAGTTTGATGACCTGCTGACCTGTTTTGGTGCCCGCTTCTCCTACCAGGACACCAACTACAGATGGTCAATTTTAGCTGAAAAGTACCTGTCCATCTCTCTCAGGTTAGTGGGGACAATTAAAGAAGTCTTGTTGTTGTTATTTATTTATCAGCTTAGTAATTAATTATTATTTACTCGCTGTAATAAAGAATAATCAAGGTCTACTTCAGCAAAAGTGTAACCTGCTCAAAACAATGTATAACCGGAATAAGATGTTTAAGACCCTTATATCAAGGTATTTTTTTTAAATACAGTGATGAACACACACATATACACATACTCGTTCTGTCATGTGTTGACTCCATGTGTTGACTCCCATTAGCTTCCATTGATTTTCAGTCATTTTTGACCCTTTCTATGCCCTAACCCTGAATCTAACACTAAACCTAACCATTACCAATGCATACCTCACCCTGACCAAGCGATACCTTAGCCCTAAACCTAACCATTAGCAAAATAGCATGTCAGGACTAGCCAAATGTCCTCACTTTGCAACAACTTTTCCTCAATTTGATGGTGAAATTAGGAAAAAAATGTCCTCCCTCTGAGAGCTAGACAGGTACAAACACACACACACTCACACACACACTCACATAAAAGTGATTAAAGGCTATTGTTGGGATCTGGAGATCTGTCCACCTTTCTCCAGCAGAAGGCGCCCTAGGTCTCCTGGAGCTGAAGCTGACTACCACACCTGCGGCTGATTTGCTCATCAGGGAGACCAGCATATAAGCAGCGGCAGGACTACTCTTCAGTGCCAGAGTGTTAAGCCAGTTATGGTTAGCAAGCCTGAGCCAACCAGCCTGTCTGATTCTCTGAGTCCACTGAAAATCTGACTTTGAACCTGATCAGTTCTTGTCCTCTCTGTCTCCTAGGAAGAACCTGACTGAAACCTGGAGCTCTGGAAGAGCTTCCCAGCAGAAACCTGCCTGCCTGCTCTCAGAAGCAACCTGGAGATCAAACTGTCTGAACCTGCCTGCCAGCTCTCAAGAAGAGAACTTGGAGAAACTTAAGGTCTGAACTCTAACAAGTCTGAAGTCAAGCCCTGTCGCTGCCTAGCCCTCTGCCGCCTCTCAGTTTCGGGACCCTTCTGGTTCCCACCCTCTGCCGCTCAGCCAGAACCTCTGAATAGGTACAGACCTGCACATCATCTCAGATACTAGATCATAAGCTTCCTGGCTAACCCAACTGTCCCTCTCTGCAGAGAACCCTGTGTGACCAGTTCCGGATCTGTTCCCAGCATCTGTCAAATAACTTTGTGGTTTTCTAAATAAACAGTTGAACTTTTTACTCTGACTGCGTGGTGTTCTGCATGTGGGTTAGGAACCTAAACCCCAACATGACAGCTATGTTAAATAACACATGTTCAGTTATCAGTAACAATAGGGCTGTCAGATTATAACTGTCCTACTCTTTGCCACAATATAGATTGCAGTTCTTTTTCCACAATTAACATCAAATATGTTTGTTTTTTTCTTGTTTACAAGAAATATATGTGAAAGGGGCCCTATCTTTTTGAACAAACTTAAAGTTTGCTTAAAGAGTAAGGACTAAGTTGTTTTCTGTCATGGTTTTGGCGCTGATGGTTGGCTTGTTCCATTTGCCCCTGCTCACCTGTCTAATTGGCCCCGTGGCTGGCTACCGCCGATCTGATTCACTTGGTCCCCGTAGCTATTCATTCTGTTTGCTTTCCTGCCATCAGTAGCAGATTATTTGAGCTGTTCGGTGAGAGTAACCCTAGTGTTCTGATTATTGTTCCGATTTTCCTCTTTCCTGATTACCTCTTTAGTGTTAGCACTGGGGGGCATGTAAACAGCAGTAATGCTAACCACACTAAACTCTCTGGGCAGATAGAACAGCCTGCAGTTAACAGTCAGAAACTTGATGTCTGGAGAGCAGAAGCTGGCGACTGATCTAGCGTTCTTGCACCAGCTGTTGATGTAAACACATAGCTCACCACCCCGAGTCTTACCGCTTAGTTCTTTGTTCCTATCCATGTGGTATACAGTAGCATTAGCTCCTCCAAGTCAATAGCATTGTCCGGTATTGCTGGACAATTGCTGGTATTGCAGCCAAGACTCCATCAGAATTATCCATTTTGTTATCCTATGAGTGGACGTTGGAGAGCAGGATTGATGGAAGCGGAGGTCTGTGGGAGTTTCTCTTTAGCTTTGCAGTTATCCCCCCGCTGCAGCCTCGCTTTCTTTGTCTCACAAATCTCTTCCTCCTACCATTATGTTCCGCTGTTGTTTTGTTTACATCCATCCGCCCATCCATCAGCTTTTTAAACGGTCAAAAATGTCTGGATTTTTGTGACCATAGCTCCTGCAGGCGTTGGCGTTCATAGATGCGGGTTTGATGTCTAGTCTGTATCGTATTAAGCAGGATATTTTGTGAAATTATCGAAATTGTCAAGAGGAGCGTTCTTGGCCGCTGCTTTGGAGCGCCTCCATGGCCAACCATCTATTAATTCTTGATGGTTTGGTATCTGAAATCTATAGGATTTATTTAAAATGAGATAGATGTTGTAGGATGAGACAGCCATTAACTATATTATAGCAGCATTAATTAGACCCCTAATATATATCCTGTGCCAAGCTTGATTTTCTATAATTTAATTTTATTTTATAGGAAAGTCTTACACACTAACTAAAATATATTAGTATTAATTAGTTTGTTTTTTTTTGCCAGTTTCAGGCTAGCAGTAAACCTTAGATTTGAGGACCAAAAGTTTAGCTATGTGAAAGTTGGAATTACCTCTGTGTTTCCAAATGCTATCCTCCTTTTCCTTTACTAGGTAGAAGGAACTAAATTGATTTCCTCTCTTCCAACACCGGGTCTTTCCACGTTCTCTCTTCTTCCTACACCTTCATGCTACTTTGCACATTGCATGTTCTCTACATCCTAATAAATAAGAGCAATACAGATAAGATGAAGCACAAGAAGCGAGCAAGCAGTGTTTCCTTCCCTTGAAGCAGTGTTTCTCATTTTGCAGTGAGCAGAAGCGCCGTTACTGACTTAGACAGATAAAGTAGATACAACACTTGCACAGATTGTTTTCACTTGTCATCTGTCAGCTTTTCACTCCCCCTCCTTTCCTCTCCATCTTTTTTGTCTTGTTCACACACCAATGTTAACTAAATGTTTTGTCAAACAGTATCTCTCATGGGGTCGAAGACAGGAAAACAGACAAATCTGAAAGGAACTAGCGATCTGGTGCCACTGTTGCACTGGGTTCTATGCTGGGATACATACAAAGCATTTGAAGTGCCAACTTCTTTTGCTGTTATAACAGGCTGGTGGAGTGTGTAGGAGTGCTACAGAGAGCTATTTTGACACTGAGTCACCTAAGAAAATTTGAATTCCAGGAATCTATTATAATGTATTGTCTGTAACAATCTAATCACAATCTAATCACTATCAGACTCTTCAAGATTGTTACAAACTATCAGCACAACCAGCCCAGCCTTATTATAGGACTCCTGCTTAGTCATCTGGAAACACAGGGTAACTAATTGGAGAACGACGTGTAAATTCCAGGCAAACAAAGAGTAACTGAAAAGGAACTAATGGTTGGTTACCAAGTAGACCAAAGAGGAACTATAATGAAAGAGTATTAAACAGTACATATCAGGGGACCACTAGTTCTTTACCATAAAAATAGAGTAGAAATTCTAAGTGTTGGTTCTGAATAAACCCTAAACATTTCATCACAACTTACAAGAAGATAGATTACTTATAACCAAATCATTTCCTAGTAATCATTTATGGACACCACTGAGTCAAGCATTATCTTAAGTGTTACTAAGGAACTATTATTCATATATTTACTACCTGACCATTATCTAAAGTAAATTTAAACATCATATCAAGTAGTTACTGAGGAACTAATTATTAGCCAGTCAGTATTGTACCAATTAGCCAACATTGTTGTGTACTGTTAAGTAAGAAAAGTACAAAATTAGTTGACTATTATATCAATAATCCATCAGTCCCATTGATTGTTTCAACTTTAACTGTTTCTATCTGTTTTCTGTACTGCTGAGCTCCAACCAGGGGTAAGTACATTGTTTATAAAAAAAGAAATAATAATTGTGTCCGTCCAAGACATTTCTCACTGTATTATCGTTAGGAAACCAGTTTGTGTGGGTTGTTTGTTTGTTTGTTCTCTCTCCACCACCAGGTGGTGCACTGTCCTCATTGGGCCTCCCTGCACACCTGCGGCTCGTTGGTTCATTACTGGCGGAGTATTTGAGCAGTGGGCTTTCACTACCTCAACGCCAGAGTGTTTGCCAGTTTTGGGTACTCTTGCAAAGCTGAGATTAGCAGAGTCTAACCTAGCTTTGTTTCTCTGAGTTTTTTTGTCTTTGCTCTTGTGAAAACTGGATACCTGGACCTTCTTCCCCTGGAAGGAATTACTGAGTTAACACTGAGCAGGGGAAAACCTCCACATGATCCGTTCAAGTCCCCATCGGAAATCCAAGTTACAGTCCTTCTCATTACTCCTCTGGGTCCAACGTAAGTCTACCTGTCCTCTCTCCAACAATTTCCCTCTTCTCTGGATAATCCCACACAGACTGGATTCAAGGATTCGCAAGAGCCCCCTCAAACGTGAGTCCCTCTCCAGCATAATTCAAGCCACAGTCTCATTTCCCACGATCCCTGAACTTATCTCTGTGATCTCCCCTTCAGACTTTCCTTTTCCAGTTCACTAGTTCACTGAGTTCCAGATCCAACCTTCATTTACATTACTTCACATAAACCTGTTAAACTTTTCACCGTGTTCTCTGAGTGGTTTCTCTGCATGTCAGTCAGATTCCTTAAACCGATTATGACAATTATAAGCCTGGAAGGATGGGAAGACTTGAAATGTTCTATGACTGTGAACACAGTGGGAAGCTTCAAAACATTTAATAATAAAACAAACAGAGACAGAACAGAATGTGAGCTGCTGTGGATCTGCAAATACACAGCAGCTGCGGGGGAAGGCGGGGCACAACCCATCACTGGCACTTTGGTTAAACAGTTCAGTCCATCCTCTCAGAGGAAGGCAGGATCCTCACAAACAAGATGTGGCGCGGAGCAGACCAGAGTGTCCCCATTGCAGCAACCACATTGAGCAGGCAGAAGTCAACCAGGTCAGGGAAACAGTTCAGAACAGGGCACTTCTGAGTTTCAGGAGTCCATAGCCTGACCAGGGGTCAGGGGTCATGGGATACTCGCATCTGCCCTAGGAAGGGAACATCTGAACAGGAACAGACAGATCCAGGGTCCCATGAATCCAAGGAGTGTTGAGGCAGGTTCAGAACCCCATGAGTCTAGCAGCGAACTCAGGCAGACACACTCGGATGGAAACAGGCAGGTTCAGTAGTAGTGGGGCAGAGACAAGACATAGTACCAGGTTAACTGCAGAACTTAAACTAGCTCCCTCCTCTGTGTCAAAACATGAACAGGGCTTGTTTAGGGAAATAAGAGCAAAGAATACAGAACTTTAAACTAACTCACCCCACACCGAGCCAAAACAGGAAATGGGGTGATCAGTGGCCAAGAGTCAGGACAAGATCAGGAGACAACAAGGCAAACACTAAAACCCTCTCAACCCACTGATCTCCAGGGATGAGGACATGGACTATGGAAATACCTAAAACAGACTAATGAACAAACATCATCAATGATCTGGCCATGATAGCTGGGCTGAGCTGCCAATACAGCAGCAGAAGCAGGTGGATAATATGAGTGATGATTAGAAACTGGACAGAGCTAGGCAGGTGAGTAAAATTAACAATTAGGTCAGCTATCAGGGCAGACCATGACAGAAAAAAGGAATTTTAGTTCCATAATTACACTATTTATGGAAACTCGCATGGATATCCGGTTGCACATGCACAAATGAGCTGATGGCACGGATCGGCTTCCGTGACAGATCAGATAGTGACGGGCGCCGTTAAACTTTCTTCAAATGTTGTTGATATTGTTTTGGCACCTCTGTCCTTCCACATTTAGATGCATCCAAACCTTGTTTTGATTGGCTAATAAAAATTGTGTGACGTATGTGACATTAGATTAACACAAAAAGTTTTAGTGAGTGTGATGTCTGAAAAAGTTTTTGTGGTAAGTGGGATTTTTCTATCAAAATTAACAAACTTTGGTCAGGGACCTAAAATGGAAGCTTTATATTTGTAGTGTTTTTTTAAACACTACAAATGTTTAGTTTCCATTTTTTCTAATTAATACAAATCATCCTAAATCCAGGTCCCTGTGACACACAAAGTAGGCTATATATACTGTAATATAACGCACAGATGAAAGTTGATGAAAAATTGAAACAGCAATTATTTTGTATTAGTGTATTCATGTACGTACACATACATTCTGCTAGTGAGTGATTATCACTAATATGTATAATCTATATTTCTATATTATATTGGAATAATGTAAATAAAAAATGGAGTGTCAAAATAACCGTATTACCAAAAGAAAGCATGTTTGATGTACTGTTATTAAATGCTGCTATGGATGGACCGGAGACCTGTCCAGGGTACACCCTGGACACCTCTCCCCCGTAGACAGCTGGCACCAACACCCTTCGCGACCCCACTTGGGATTAAGCGTTTCAGAAAATGGATGGATGGATGGATAAATACGGCTAATTCAAAATTTTCTCTTGAAAGAGCAGATCAGTTTCAGATGCCACTTACTACGTATATTCATTTTTTTGTGTTTATTCGTTGATATTATGTGAATACTGATGATGAATTTTATTATTATTCTTTTTTAACAATTATTGCCAAAACTTAACATTTATTTATAACAATACCAATAATTAAAGAGAAAAAAATAACATAACACAAAGTGATTTTTGTCTTACCAGGTGATAATGTTATCTCTAACCCTCCTTGAGGATGAGGGGCAGCACAGGTTGCCCAGTTTGACTGACATGGTCTTTAGGGTATTTTCCTGGATGTCACTCTGAGTTGAAGTTTTCTCCATCTAAAGAAAACACAGGACAAGAATAAAAAAAAATTAATCTCCCAACATTCTCTCCCAATGTCATCATTATCATGGATGAACATGTTAATTCCTTTTAAGATAAAACCTCTAACATAAAGGTTTTAAAATAACGCTCTATGATTTCAATGGAATTGAATCAGTCAGCAGAAAAACTAAAATGCCCACCCCACAACACATAAGGCCAACCCAGAACGGAATTAACTGACTTTTATGATCGAAAACTTTTGGATCATAAAGGTAAATAGACCTGCATATAATCTGCATAAAACTGTTATGACACTTACTACTGTAAAATGGATCGTAGATGAAGCAGGTAAAACAAAAGTAAAATAGGACCAATCAAGAAACCTCAAGGTACCCCGTATTTAAGGGGCTCAACATAGGTTGACAGCGTTACCAGCTGGATAAGTGGGATATAAACATTTTCAAGACTGTGCCTTTAATATTAAAGATTGATTACATCGTCACAATCTAACATGTCAAAGTATCAATGAGTTCATTAAGACACAGAATAGTAAAATCACCAGAATCAGAAGTTAAAAATACAGTATTACAACAACCCAAGAAGTAGTGTTGCCACCTGTACTTATAGTTGTAATGGTACTCATTATCCTCTATTTCATCAAGGACTCTGTCACAGGGGCAGCAGTCTCAGCAGAGACTACCGGGTTTAATTCCTCCAGATGCCTCCTTCAGTGACATAGTCCCTATAGCATGTCTGGGGTCATCCTCTGGGCCTCTCCCAGTGGGACATGGCTGGAACATCTCCCAACGGAGGTGTCCAGGGGGCATCCAAAAAAGATGTCCGAGCCACCTCAGCTCACACCGCTCTATAGGGAGGAGAAGCGGTTCTACTCTGAAACTGTCTGAGCCTCTTGCGAATGACTGAGCTCTTCATCCTATCTATAAGAGACAGCCCAGCCACCCTGCATAAAAAGCTAATTTCAGCCTCTTATGTCCGGAATCTTGTTCTGTCACTCATGATCTAGTCATCATGACCATAGCTGAGGGTAGGAAAACAGGCAATAGATCGGTGCAGCATTTGCATTTAAGCAGCAGCCCCACCAATCCATCTATCGATGTCATGCTCCACTCCAGGACAGGAACTCAACATATTTGAAATCCTTCACTTGAGGCAGGAGCTCTCCTCCAACCTGAAGGGGACAAGCAATATTTTTTACTCAAGGACCATGGCTCAGACTTAAAGCAGGGATTCAAAAAATTCCAGCTACTTCACACTTGGCTGTAAACCAGCCCAGTTCATGCAGTAGGTCTTGGCATGAGGGTGCCAGCAGAACTACATCATCCACAAAGAGCAAGGATGAAATCTGCTGGTCAACGAACCAGACCAACCCTGGCACTTGGCCGTACCTAGAAATCTTGACCATAAATGTCATGAATAAGACCAGTGACATAGAGCAGCCCTGTTGGATTCCAATACACTGGTACCAGGTCTTACTTAACCAAACTCTTGCCAGACCTGGGTTTTTGCCCCCACAACCACCTGTGTAGTGGCACTTTTGGCTTCACAAAACCTGCTTACTGCTCCAGCAAACCCACAAACTATGGAGAGATATTTGTGCCATCGGTTTGAGCGCGCAGGAACCAATCCGAGCGCGCAGTGAGACAACACGCGCGCGCGCAAAACCGGTCTGGCGCGCGCTCAACTCTGAAAAACCCTCTCAACACACTGTTCTCGCGCTCAGTTTCATCTCTGCGCGTGCTCGAATCCGTCTCTGCTCGCGCTTGCTCTCCTGCTCTCTCTCCGCGCTCAACACCAGCTGTGCGCTCGGCTGTTTCTCCGCTCGCTCGACTCTCTGCGCTCGCAACTTCAGCAATGTATGTAAATGAACCATACCATCAGCCAATCACACTCAGCTTCTTTTCATCCAATGAAAGCATTCCTTCCTTCTTCTTCTTTTCTATCATGGCGGTTCGCAAGCAACTTCAAGGTGCATACCGCCACCTACTGTTCATGAGTGTGTAGCAACATTGTTTTACATCTATTAAATTCTATTTTTTAATTTTGCATTCTGAAGATAACTAAATAATGCTTTCCTTAATCTATAAACATCCTTTATATTTCCTTTATTTCCCAATAATCCTTTAAGACTCCATTCTTGGCCTGTCATTTCAACTACTCTTCTCAATTTTTCCCTTTCAGGTTCATATGTTTTACAGTTCATTAATATGTAAGCATTCGTTCCAAATACTACATCCGGTTAGATGAAAAAAAAATAAATAAATAAATAAAAACACAATCAGGAAAATCAAACTACTCTTACAGTTATTTTGTCAACATTCCTAAGATAGTACTATAAAATATCTTGAATTATCTCAAATAAACTTCAGTAAAACAGTTATTAGATCATTGCCTCATCCATCTCTTTTACCTGCTATTGACATGGATTTAAATTTGCTGTTTTAAAAGAAAAATAAGGAGGATATTTCAGGTTCAAGTATGGTTCAACAGTATATAGATAATGTTTTGGATCATATTGGCCTTACTCTTAGCTTTTGTGGCGGGTGTTTCTTCTTTTTGTTGTTTTTTATGGAGGTTGGCAAACAACAATTACCGCCACCAACTGAAAAATCCTGTTTATCAAATTATTCTTTTTAATATATATAATAAAGAATAACCCTCTTATTTAGAGTCCATCTGTAAAAGGTCTTCTAAATAATAATTGTTAAATTTCAGATCAGGTCTGCTGTCTGAATAATTGCGTTTAAATTAATATAACAGTCGCTGATCTAAAATCAGAGCAAACTAAACTTCTTAATGGAACGATTTCTTCAATCCATTGTAAGGCCAATATGATCCAAAACATTTCTCCTTTGTAGGCTGAATTCCATCACTGATTCTTTTACCCGATTTAAAAATAAATTATGAAACTAAAACAAAACACCATTCCTAATATTGGAATATTTTGAAGCATCCATAAAAAATTTAACATATCCATAATATTTTTTATCTATATATTGTTGAACCATACTGGAACCTGAAATATCCTCCTTATTTTTCTTTTAAAACATCAAATTTAAATCCATGTCAATAGCAGGTAAAAGAGATGGATGAGGCAATGATCTAATAACTGTTTTACTGAAGTTTATTTGAGATAATTCAAGATATTTTATAGTACTATCTTAGGAATGTTGACAAAATAACTGTAAGAGTTGTTTGATTTTCCTGATTGTGTTTTTATTTATTTATGTATTTTTTTTCATCTAACCGGATGTAGTATTTGGAACGAATGCTTACATATTAATGAACTGTAAAACATATGAACCTGAAAGGGAAAAATTGAGAAGAGTAGTTGAAATGACAGGCCAAGAATGGAGTCTTAAAGGATTATTGGGAAATAAAGGAAATATAAAGGATGTTTATAGATTAAGGAAAGCATTATTTAGTTATCTTCAGAATGCAAAATTAAAAAATAGAATTTAATAGCTGTAAAACAATGTTGCTACACACTCATGAACAGTAGGTGGCGGTATGCACCTTAAAGTTGCTTGCGATCCGCCATGATAGAAAAGAAGAAGAAGGAAGGAATGCTTTCATTGGATGAAAAGAAGCTGGGTGTGATTGGCTGATGGTATGGTTCATTTACATACATTGCTGAAGTTGCGAGCGCAGAGAGTCGAGCGAGCGGAGAAACAGCTGAGCGCACAGCTGGTGTTGAGCGCGGAGAGAGAGCAGGTCGAGCGAGCGCGAGCAGAGACGGATTCGAGCACGCGCAGAGATGAAACTGAGCGCGAGAACAGTGTGTTGAGAGGGTTTTTCAGAGTTGAGCGCGCGCCAGACCGGTTTTGCGCGCGCGCGTGTTGTCTCACTGCGCGCTCGGATTGGTTCCTGCGCGCTCAAACCGATGGCACAAATATCTCTCCATAACAAACCCGCCAGGCGGGCTGGTGGACAATTGCACCCCTTTCTTCACCTGAGTGACCAATATATGGAGCCAAATGCCAAAGACTTTGACTGCAAAGTCGATCATCGAATTCTGGCCTAGGGTGTCCTGGTGCAAAGTGTACCAATGGACATTCTATGTTTGAAAAATGGTGTATATCATGAACAACCCCTGTCTTGAGCAGAAGTCTTATAACGAAGCGCCACTCAAGTGCAGAGTTGGGCTGTTGACAAGCGGAACCTTATGGCAACAGCCATAATGGTCTGCTTGTGAAAGTAAATGGGTTGGAAAATTATCTCTGAGACTTTTATTTTCACAGCTATTGTGGCAAAACAGGACAAGAAATCTTGAAATCATTATGGGCAACTTGAAATCTTTAGAAAAGTTTATGAACAACAGATTGTGTCAGGATATGTTACTGTGAAGACTTATTAATGCAGCACCAGTTATGAAAGTGGATGATCATAGCAGCAGAGGGATGATCATATAGCGGTCTGGACAGAGCCAATTAACTAAATGTGACCAGTCACAGAAACTAAGGACACAAGTCTATTGAGGGGCATTTTGACAATTGTGTAATGATTTGGAAAGTGTGATTTCCATTTATGGGTCAGACATGGAAATCTGACGTTTTTTGAGAGTCCACGCTATCTAAAAGTAGGCACATTTACAAGGCTCCAAGTGAAAGTGGCAGCATATTTAAATGCTGACTTACCCAGTTCTGACCCAAGGAGCAGCTATTTGAAGGGTTTGTTGAGAATGCAAGCTATACTATAATTTGTTTTTAAGTGCAGAGGTAAAACAGAAGGAGCCCAATAATTAATTCATAAATAAACATGAGAAGTTATCTTCCTGTAGTGGGGGTTAGGTTAAGGACTAAGGTGTGTATTAAGTTTAAGTTAGGTTTAGTTATATGATGGTAATGGTTACGGTGAGGGTTAGGCCTTAGAAATTAGTGCAATATCAATGGAAGTAGATGGAAAGTTCCCCAAAGCATAGTGTGACACAAAATATTGTTACACTATGCCTGTGGTCCACCTTCCTCACCTCACTGACCAAATGGTGTTCTCTTTA